GTCAATACGTTTGCAATCTCGATAACACAACACACACTTTATATTACCGTCACTACCGCTCGCTTGACTCAATTATCTGTATCTATATCTATCTATCTGCATTCTTTATCGCCGCTTTATTTGCCGGGCTTATATACAAAAAAATAAGGCGCTTAGAACAGACTAGAGTTGCCAGGAAAAGTCAAGATCCTTTGAGAATATCATGACGTGTTACCAGCGTCACGTGACTTCCGCTGTCGTAACAATATATTGTTACTATAATATAATTAATTTTTAGAAAACATGTTCATAAATTAATAAGCATTTACTGTCATATGGGGCCCGGCATGGCCAGGTGGTTAGGGAGCTCGACTCGCGATCTGCGGGTTCGAATCCCCGTCCCACAAAACATGCTCATCCTTTCAGCCCTGGGGGCGTTATAATGTGACGGTCAATCCCACTATTCGTTGGTAAAAGTGTAGCCCAAGAGTTGGCGGTGGGGGTAATGACAAGCTGCCTTCCCTCTAGTCTTACACCGCTAAATTAGGGACGGCTAGCGAAGATAGTCCTCGTGAAGCTTTGCGTGAAATTCAAAACAAATCAAACAAAACCGTCATATGACGGGCAGTCAGCTAGAATATATTAAAACACGGATACATTTATTTGGTTTTAGCAAACCAGAGATTATCCAATATTAAAAGTGAAAGGTACAATGTTTTTTATGAATAAACTATGAAAAGACACTAAAATATATCGGAAAAGTTCTATTTTTTCACATAAGAAGTTAGAAAATTATAATAAAAATTTGCAAATATCAAACATAAGAGTATAAAATTAACGCTACAAATTATTATATTTATTACATTTATGTACCTCAAAAAAAGAGTCAGTTAGAAAAGTTAATTTTTTTCCTTTCTTTGTTTTTTTAGCTTCAGAACATACACACACAAAAACAGTACTCAACAAAAACGTTTTTTCACAATTAATTGGCATATTTATATACAAGAAGTTTTATTACCAGGGTCCAGGGGATTTGATTTTTCTGGAATCAGTGTGACGTGATAGAAGGCGTTTCAACGGAAAGATGGTGGATCGACTGGGTGAGCCTAAGAGAAACATCATTTGAAGCTAATAATATATATTTATATACTTTGGATAATCTGTAATTCTTTTATATTAATTGTAATTACATATAACTATATTTTTATATTGTAGAGCTTTCGCATGTTTTAAACGTTTTAGTATTTATCAAAAAACAAAGATGGAACATCACTGTTATTAATGTTGATATTATTATTAATTATTTTTATTGATAAATTAAAAAAAATCAAACTATCCTATTAATATTATTCCTAGCCTTTTTTCTTTTAACTTGAAAGTTGAAGTTGTCATGTTATAGATAGATCTACTAGTATGAATACTAATAGTATAGTCTAAGTCTTTGAGGGATTAAAAATATTCAACTGTAAACTTATGACAAGGTTGTGTTGTAACTTGCACGTTTTTGTAAAAAGTATTACTATTAACTTGTCACATGGTGCAATTTTGTATGTTCACTGAAATAAACCTTTTATTAATATGCTAATACTATTGTTCTATACAGAATGTCCAAAATTTTGGAAACACTTTTGACAAATCATATAGAGATAACTGGTTAACAAAGAGACTCACTCTTTGTTGCATGTACAAGAATGGTATTTAAAGTTTTCTTACAACATACAATCATCATAGTCCAAGTGAACTACAACACTTACACCATAAGTTACACACAAAATGACTGCAAAGTACCTGATCTCCTATCAAGTGTTTTTCAACATTGCAGGATTAACCTTTGTGAAGGTTTCTTGGATACATTAACATAGTTCAACCTTAGTCACAATCTTACTACTATAAACTATGTGCTTTATGAAGTCCCATAACAATAAAATAATTAATGAAAAAATTTGATAGAGTTAATGCCCAGGAATGCAGGATCAGCTGATTGGAACTTCCCACTTAATCCACCAACTGGGGAATGTTTCATCAAGTATGTTGTAGATAGGCTCCAGTGGAAGAGCACTGTCAGTGTCATGCTGGAATAACATGCTAATGACACCTATTGGTGCTGTAAAGGAAACTAAACACTATACTTGCAATAAACCATGTGTCAGTATGTTAAATAGTTTTCATGGTATGATTTTCAGAGGTGCATCCAAAGTTCTTGGATACCCTGTAGTAATAGAGCGATTACTTAATGTGTTAAGTGAAAGCTAAATCGTTTTTGTTTTTAATATATGAAATTAATGAAACTGAAGCTTAAGAAACAGTCATAAAGTATTTAATATGGATTTTGCATAATGGCCCAACTGGGTGCTTTTACTTATTTTAACTTTAATTGAATACTTAAAATCATAATATTAATAGAAAAAATACCAAAAAAGTGATATCAGTACATCTCTAATATTTCCTCATCTATATGGTTATGAAAATTGCTGTATTAGATCATCAGTGAAACTTGTATCATGATAATCAACATTTATATCCACATTCTGAAAATTAAGTGCTATTTGCTGTTTGTTTCTCTAAGCTAAATCTCTTATTAAGATCATAGCTTCCTTGTTATAGCTAATTAGACCTAAGATTTTCTTATATTATCAGCAAACTTAACTCTTTAAACCTGTAATTTTTTGCACATTCTGCAGGAATTATTTTCATTATTTCCTTATAAAATTTCAGTTTTCTTAACTTTGTGGATAACAACATGGCATACTAGTTTTCAGCCAAAGAGACATAAATGTTATTGAATGCTGTCACTATCCCATGGGTAAATCGGGGATTTCCGGCTAGACACTGGCAGTGTCTGCTTGTGTGTAAAGGAGTTAACCAATTTCTTGAATGTGCCCCCTGTTAATAATATTAGCCCTACAATTAACAGCTTGTTTTTACATTATTCACTAATCACTACTGGCAGAGGTCTACATATTAGATTGTTTAGTAATTTTGTTTTTCCATGTTACAACACTCAGTGTATAGAACTGACAAAAAATATTGGGTGAAAATCAATCATTTATAAATAAATTACTTAGTGGTAATTAGTTGAATCTAGCCCATAATTTTCTACTTTTCTAACAGGGTGGTTGGCTTTCAGATGTGGTAGTTGCAATAAATTTAACAGAAAGTCCAGTAAATATTTAAGTTATCAAGATTAGCTTTGATCTTTTTTTTTAAATGGATGGGGCAGCCTCAGTAAACCAAAATGACCCATGTTGTCTGTTAAGTGTTAATTGTAATATTAACATTTAAAAAGTATATTTTTAACATGTCTTATTGATATAATTAAAAAGAGTAACATGTGTACAAGGAAAAATTTTAAACTTCATTAAACTATGCAAAAATGAAATTTAGGAGGTAGGGAAGTATGGACAAAATCACCATACATATGTGAAGGAGAGGTTATAGATTGTACTATGCGTTGCAGAGGGAAAGGTATTTATGGAATGGACCTGTAATCTCTCAGAGCTCCATCTTGGACAGCAGTGTTTGTATGTTAAGATTTTGTGTGTGAATTTGTTCATTTTTTTTTATAGACACTTAGAGCACTGGTATATTCGTGAGCAATATCACTGAGTTTTGATACTTGCCTCTGATACCTAGGTTTTAAAAGTGTCAATAGATCTAATGTCTCTAACTAGTTATAAAGAGATCCTGTATCCAACAAATTTAGAGACCCAAAGCAAGTTGGGGTATAAAAAGTGTAGGGAAATGCATCAAAAACAGGTGGTGTCTATATGAGTCCACTTGAAATCCTGGTGTTAATGTAAGTAAGGAATAGCAAGAGTTCCTTCGCAGATTCCTGAGACATGCTACTAATAATATTAAAGTTCAGTTAGCCCGAACTCCACTAATAAACACTACACCAATTTTTTATGCAGTTCTTTGCCCTCTCCCCTCACCAACAATCTAAGTAAACTAAATCTACTTTATCCTCATCCAGATAAGAATTAACATCCTCAAACAAGATAATTGGTTAGCAAGGCAGGATTGTCCCTTTGTAAAATAGTGTTGCCTGTTTTTTACTATAGGGCAGGTTCAATGTTTAATATCTTTTGAATGAAAGAAAAGTGTTGGCAACGTGGGTGTATTAAATTGAGTGTAATTTGCAGAACCATATCCAGTGTAGCTGATGATTCAATAAATAAGGCAGCAAACACATCAAAACATCAGCTGGATACACTTGTCAATGTTTAAAAAGTGTCTTGTTTCTTGCATGTATTTGCCTTCTTGATTTTTATTCATAATTTTATTCCTGTTCTTTTTTAATGTCTCATGAAGCATTTTCATAAATTATTTTATGACTTCTCCATAACTATATTCTAACTGAAAACTTATAATTTTTATCTTTATACTGAAAGAGTAATTATAAGGTATGTCTTCATTCGTTTTATAAATTGTTAAATAAGTGTTAGTTGAATTTGTCATAATTTAAGTCACTAATTTTTATGTTTTAAATTAATTTTATTCTGCTGTGTATTGGAGATTAACAGAATAACTGGTGATAGGCCTGATACAACTTATCTCAAGCCTTAATATGCTCTCACAATCCAGACCATTAGTTGATCTAAAAAATGTAACTTTGGAGTCTATGGATAACAAAATTAAACTCCTAGATTGGGCCTTGAAAAGACTGCATATCCTAAAAATAACTTGGTAATAATGACAGTTACCTAACTCTTTAAACATTTTTATGGATTGGCACTGACTTAACTTGGAGTGAACAAGTATGTGAAAACTATACATAAAATGTCAAAAGTGCATTAAAAAACTATGATTGTAAAGTATACATGTGTTATAAACTTTGCTAAAACAGAAATGTGATCATAGTAAGTAAATGCTAAAAAGTAAATAATAATTTTGTTGTTGCTGGTAATATATATAAAATAAATTTTGTGTACAAAAATGGAATAGTCATTGTCATGAAAAAATCTGTTTTTTTAAGTTCATATTTTTTAAATGCTGAAATTAACTTGAATAGTAATTGTGTGATATCAAAGAAACATTATTGTACAATTGACAAAAAATGCTATTCTATAATATTTGTAATTATCAGTTGGATAATAGTCTTCAAAATTCACTTTTTTGTGACTGCTGTATAGATATATATTACTATGTTTACATGGAAGTTGGGGTTTTAAATTACTTATTCTGAACAACAACACACATGGTATGCAAGTTCATCATATAATTGTCTATTAACAAAGCAGATTTGTGTTTAATAATTTCTTGATAAAGGCTCTAATGCATACATACATATGGCATTTTAAGAGAAAATATTTTTACTTAATACAAGTCTTTGAGGCATTTAAATAAATTGTAAAATCCAAACTGAAAATATAAAAGAACAGATTAATAGTAGTTTATAAATATAATTCTGAGACATTTATTAAAAGATTAAAAGAAAACTTTTTGGCATTGCTCTAAACAAATTGTATGAATAAGTAATTAATATTAACTTTTGATTAGACCAAGTTACTTAGAGTGAAACTAAAAATTAACATAGTAATGAGCATATCTAATTGAATATACTTTTCTTTTGTTCTTATTTATAAAGATTAGAATGTTGGGTACCTTCTCAATTAACAACATTTTTGGTAGTAAGTCCAATAATATTTTGCAAGTTCAGCCAACTTGGGAAATTTATAGTAGTTGTAAATACCTATATTAAGCTAACAATAATTTCTACAATAAAAGTATAATGATGAAAATTAATATAAAGACATTAGATATATTAAACATTGTAACCAATACTGTTAATGAAAGTAACAATAAAGAAATAATACTGTGCATTTGCATTACGGAACTCACAAATATTAGCTGTTGGCTTCAAGTACTAAGTTTAAGGTGCCTTGTGTTAGTTGTCTTCATGTCATAAGCTATAAAAATTGAATTTTTCATTTTCTCACAAGTTTATGGATTGTATTTTTGTTTTAGGAAATATTAATAGTGAAACATTTTTTCCATATTTCCTTTGATGTTTCAGTGAACAGCGAAGCTAATGCCTGCCGTATTGCTGCTGTTGAAAACTGCTTTGGCAGTTCAGGGCAGGTAAGCCTCATACTATTTTCTAATTATTACAGTAACATAGCTGCTTCAGCTTCTGCTTTTATTGTAATTATCATCTTCCCATTGACATGTTGCTTTGAATAGGACATTCCCTAAAGTCAGATTTTAAAATAAATAAGAATTTACTATTTCTCATATATTTTGGTAATTTCATTGAGAATTAAAAACTAAATCTATTGATTAAAAAATCATAATGGCAAAATCTGTTATTTATTACCACATCTTAGGACATTCCCTAAAGTTAGATTTTGAAATTAATAATAATTTATTATTTCTCATCTATTCTGATAATTTCATTTTGAACTAATAACTAAATCTTGTATTAAAAAAATCATAATGGCAAAATCATTATTATTTATTAGCACATTTCTTTTATGTAACTAAATTTTTATGTATTGAAAAAATCATAATGGCAAAATCGTTATTATTTATTAGCACATTTCTTTTATGTAACTAAATTTTTATGTGCAGTAGCAAGCATTCTGTATGAAAGAAAAGTTTCTGGTATGACTAAGGTTTTTTTTTAATGTAAATGTAGTTTGAATTTTCAGATATACAAATAATTAACATGACATGTTAAATTTCATTTTATAATATGACAAAATATTTACCCCATTCATTCAGTGTTTAGCCCTTGCTTATGGAAAGTTTTCGGTAGTGGACTATTCTTAACAATTTAAATGACTCAGCACATAAGCTACAAAAATATGTACAGTTGCATTTGCTTTTTATTAATGAAATTATTTAGTACTCTAACTAAGATCTACTGAGAAGTTCCTTGGTTTTTAAAGTTTTAATTTCCTTCCTGACCTTCATTTAAAAGTAAAGTAGCCTAAGCCAATTATTAAAGTTTTTCTTCATTACCCATTTAAGCCGTCTCCAGCCATTAAAAGTTAATTAGTATTAGATTAGTAAAAAGCTCCATTTTATGTTAAAGTATTGTAGATGTAAATTAAAAGACCCAATTTTTTTAAATTGAAAAATAAAATTTATTCCTTAGGCTACAGGTTTGAAATATATATTTAAAATTGTGAAGCATATTAATCATTCCTTATAAATGTGTAATAAAGTTATAAAAAATGTGAAGCTGGATCTTGGAATCTATCAGAAGCAGAGTTATGTGTAGAGGTAACACATTAAGTATGTATAAGATGTTAATAAAAAATACTTCATCCTATGTCTACCATTTTAGTTTGTAATTAAATGCTTTATTATACATTGCACAATTGTTTAATTTAATTCAGATAGTTATGGTGTAAAATTGTGGCATGTTTTTCATTTGTGCAAAACTGAACTTGGTAGACCTATTAATGCTTATGCCAAAATACTTGTTTACTGTATTTTGTTTTCATTGTTGCTTCTGATTGATATATACTAAATATGAAAATAGTTTTCTCTATTGATGAGAATGCACTGAGAGAATTTGTAGCACTTTGTTCTGTAAAACAAAAAACTTCTGTATAAAGTTATATAAGGTTTTTGATAAATTTTTCAAGCCTCTTGCAGAGTATGGCCGTGTTTTAGTGGGAGAAGGAGTTTTAACCAAGATGTGTCGTAAGAAACCCAAACCACGGCAGTTTTTCCTTTTTAATGACATCTTAGTTTATGGTAATATTGTCATCAACAAAAAGAAGGTGAGAATTCAGTAGTTTGTTTTATATGCCTTACAGTGAAATATTTATCTCTTGACATCTGTTAATGATGAATTATAAAATAAAATTGACATATTACAGACTGTAACAATAAGTACTTGCCATAAAGTTATGGGAATCAGTGTTATTATTAATTAGTTAGTAATTCTTTAAATTATTTACTAGATCCTAAGTAGATCGTTATTCCACATTTTGGCTAATAGTTTGCTGTTGTCTTCAGGGAAGTCCTGAGAATAGACTGTCTGGGATGCAGAAGCCAGGATTTGATCTTCGATTTTGTTGTTAGGAACATAAGTGTGCTATACACTCATCTGGGCTCTCACCACATTGGGATTTGAATCAGATATTTGAATGATTTTAAGGGTAGTGTTTTGGTTTTGCTGAATTCTGTTCTAGATTGAGTGTTTTAGCATCTAGTAAAAGGTTTTTTTTTTTCATCATTATTTTCCTTTTCGGGTTCATATCCCATTATTACAGCATTCTTCCAGCTTATTGTGTGATATTCTCTGGTGTGATGCAGATAAATCAGTATTACACAGAATTGTATGTACATTGTGTTACTGGACTTTTTGTTTCTCCATTCTGTTCGATTACACATTCATATGGAATGTTGTAAATGGTGTTTGTATTCTTCATTGGATTTTCAGATGGTTTTATTTGTATAACCATAAATTGTGACCATATTGTGTCATGAATTCTGAAGACTGTTCTATCTTTGTACTGTTTGTATATACTTCACATATTCTTCAGAGAGACCTCTCAATATGGCTGTGTGTGTGTGTCTGTCTGTATTTTTATTCCTGTTTATTCTTTGTATTTTTCTTCATTTTGTTCTGTGTGAAGTGTTCAGAGTATCCATTGTTAAGGAAGGCCATAGTGATGTGTTTTTCTTATTATTTTCTGTATTACAAATCTTGTTCACTTTGGAGACCAGCAACATCCCATTATGTCAGAGAAAAAAGACCATGTGATAAAATGGAGTAACACTAAAATGATGGCATATAAACCGCCCACAAGGAAAGGAAAGATAAAAGAAGTCTTCTACATTCTTCAAACTGATAATGCCATCTTAGCACAGAAGTCATCATATCTTGGGTACTGCTTTTGAGACCACACAGGTAATTGATTTAAATCCCTAGAGAGGATGAGAGCCTGGACAAGTGGATAGCATATCTACCTTTTAAGAAGAAGACCCATGAGCAATTACTGACTCCTGCAAGTACATACAATCCTTCTTCTTTCTAAGGACTTCCTTGCTGCTGAAATTTCGGATATAAACTAAAAAGGCTAACATTCCCAAGTGAAAGCAATGTGTTTATCCCCATCCACTTTATTCAAGGCAAGAGAAGGGAGTGTAAACTACATCATATATACTTTAGAGGGATAAACACTTAACACTGTAAAAACTTCAGACTTCTTTTTGAGGCATACTAGAGTATGAACTTATAATACATAAGAGAGTCAGTTGCTGCATAAATAAATTTATTCACAATTACAGAAACTATACAGATAATTTTTGGGCAAATAAGGCCTTCTATGTAGTATATGTAACTTTTTGCATTAATAACAACCAGTTTACATCTAAAAACAATGTCTGTTAAGTTCAGAGCTTCATTGCCTTACAATGTTTAAGGTTACGAGGGTAGACAATCGGAGTATTAACAAAAGTGTGGTCAGATCGTATTAATATAGATAATTTTCATTCTAGATCAATCTTAATTTTCAGAGCTTCCCCTCTTTTTTTTTAATTAAGTACTATAAGTGTGATGCAATTATAAACTACAAGAAAGTATTTTTATTTATAAAACATGTAGTGTATCTTCAAGTCATATTTCCACTGATTTTTTAGATATTAAATAACAGTACAGAATAATAGTAGACTTGCATTTTACATTAGCTGTGATTACAATATCCATTAAATTAAGAAGAAAAACTCAGTCCCAGCAGCATTGTACTAAAATCATTGTGATTGATATACAAGCATTTGAAGTACGTGTGTGGAGGTTGACCATAACATACAGATTTACCATTAAAACACATGCACATGATTAGAGGTTTAGTGCAAACTTGTGACCTTTCACATTCTGTTCATGAGAATATTAATTAACCAAATGTAGAACAGCTCTGCAAAAAAAATTTGAGAAATTTACTTAAACATATATATGAATAAATGTATTCTTTGACAGTGAAGGGTGGAATATGGCAGTTCTTTCGACAATTATTACTACATGTACATCAAAGTCATTCATAATTCATAAACTTTATTGAAGGACTGGAATTAATACAGGAAGAAAAAATATAATTGATGTTGGTCCTTCAATATTTTTTTACATATTTATGTAATTTATAAATGTAGAAGAACTTATTCAAAACTAACACACAAAAACATTATAAGCTTGAAACTAAACTTTACTCTAGTAAAAAGTACTGAACAACAATACATCCTACCCAATTCTGACTGAAATCTGTACTTATCTTCCTGAAAATAACATCCACCTATTACTTTTGTGTAGATAACAGTACGTCAGAGTTACCATGTAAATATTTTACTAGGTATTGGATACTAGCCTATTGGCTACAAAAAGACCAAACCAAACCTTCATTGTATTTTCCATTTATTACTAAACACCAATCACTTGCAGAGTGGAATGACCATTTAAGTTGGATTTCAAAGTTAGGCTTTATTTATATAAAAATGTTAAGCATTCAGAAGGTTTAAGAGAAATGAAGGCTTGTATTCTGTATGAAGAATGTCATATAAACAGAAATTCCACTCAAGGCTTATTGTGATTAACAGATATAAAAAAAATAGTTGGTAAATATACACCTTTAAAATAATTGTAACATTTGGTTCTAAAGTATTTGTCCTTAGAGAAAAAGGTTTGCTGAGATTAATTAGATTTCTTGTTTGTCTAGTATAATAAACAACATATTATTCCTCTGGAGGAAGTTAAGCTGGAAAACCTTGATGATGATGAAAGTAAGTGCTTTGTTTTATATTCTATTAACTGTTATCTATGCAGGCTCATTAGATATTTGTTGTTAGAAATATAAGTGATGGAAACTCACTTTTACAATAATTATATTTAATTATTTTATAATTAAATAAAAAGTTAATCATAATATTGTGCATTTATAGTTGTAAATTACCAAATCACAGTCTGACATTGTTTAGGTTGTTGTATAATAGTTGTTTAACACAATCAGTGTAGCTACTGCACATATAGAAGTTCAACAGTGAAGGTGTGTGTGGGAGTTTATGTGAAAGTAACTTTCAAAAAGTTGAGATTTTAATTGTAGAATTTTCATTGAAATCAAAATCTGATCAACAACCTTTATCAATCAGTGACAAAGATGACTTAATGTCCTTGATCAGAGGTGAGGTTATGTTATATATATCGTTATCTTATCTGAATGGTTAAAGAACTTAAAACCAAATGGGGAATGTTTGGAAAGCATGTAAAATAATTTAAAGTCACTGTAAACGGATATTAAAGCCCACATGCAACTCATTACAATGTATTTTCCTAAATGCATACAAGTTTATCCATTTCACGCCTAAAGAATGAAGAACTTTCAAACCTTTTGATTCTTCTAATGTTTTATAATACATGTCTTCTTAATAGCATAAATTTACTTAAGTAACTCAAATAGTTTTACTTCTTCATTTTGCTGTAACATACTAGTTGCTAGATATATAAGTATTAATTTAATGTACTAATCTTTTCAAATATCTTTTGTTGTAGAATATTGGTAAACAATATTATGTTACAAGTGTTTACATTGGTAAACAATATTATGTTACAGTTGTTTACATTGGTAAACTAGCTTATAATTAACAAAAAAAAAGAGTTTTAAACTTCATAGTTAACTGCAATAGTTCATCACTTATTTTACATTTAATGAAATAAATACTTTGCCTTTGTTTTTTACATTTAGTGAAGTAAATACTTTACCTTTGGTTTTTACATTTAATGAAGTAAATACTTTACCTTTGGTTTTTACATTTAACAAAGTAAATACTTTGCCTTTTGTTTTTACATTTAATGGAGTAAATACTTTGCCTTTGGTTTTTACATTTAATGAAGTAAATACTTTGCCTTTGGTTTGTCATCTTTCTGGCAAGAGCTGAGTTATATTTCAGTACAGTAATATAATCAAAGTTCTATACTTTTAAGTTTGTGAACCTGAAACTTGTGTCATCAAATTTCTCTTGCTTTATACTTCATTTTATTATCAGATGCTAGAAGTTTACCCCACAAAAACGGGAAGTGTTAACACTAATTCAGACATACATGTGTGACATGAGCTATTTTATATTTTTTTTATAATTACCATTTTGCTTGTCTCTTTTTTTTTTCTTTATGTAGTTACCATAGATATAATTGATTTTGTTATTAAAGACCAGAACATATTGACGATTTCAATGTTTTTGAAGTATTCTAATTACAAATACATTGCACCACTGGTTATAATTGGAATTTTGATACAGTATTAGCATTTAATGGTTGTTTTCTTATATAAAAGTTTTATCTTTCAGCAATTAATTTTTATTGTATTAACCATCATTAACTCTTCTACATATTAATTTTTCAAACTAAACTTCCTGATTTTAATGTACAAGCATTGTTATTTGTTTCACTCTTTTTTTTTTTAAAGTATTGAAAAATGGCTGGTTCATCAGAACTCCAACCAAATCTTTTGCTGTTTATGCTGCCACGGCTACTGAAAAGTCTGAATGGATGGCTCATATTAACAAGTGCCTGGAAGATTTGTTAAAGAAAAGTAAGATATATTCCCAAAGAAAATAATTTTTTGTTTGTTTTAAACAACTTTCCAACTATGTTACTCTTTCAACCATTGCAACCTTCACTTATCATCACTGAACTTTGCTTTGTTGTTTTTAATAGCTTTCATGATAAAACTGGTATTTTCTCAGAAGCTTATTTTACAAGTATGTTATTTTTTGCATTTTAAAAGTAAATTTGTAAGATACAAGTTTCCTTTTAAAGTACGTGTTATTATGGGGGCAAATGATATCATTGCATCTAAAAAAAACCTAACTGAACTTTACCCTCGATTCATCTGCAAAAAGAAATTTCATTGAAATGTTCAGATTTAAAATTGTTTTTTTTATCTATTTTCTTGGAAGTTTATTTTACAAGTAGGTAGGTTATTTTTTGCATCTTAAAAGTAAACTTCCATCTATGATTGAAAAAAAAGGTTTTCCTCCCATCTACATACATATATATATATATATATATATATATATATATATA